ACATAAACTAGGTAATTTCAAAGGACCGTAGTTCAAAACACAACAATATTTGCAAACTCCTTGATCAATCCAAGTTCTACTGAGGAGATAGATCCCAATCATAAATACAAATGATCCATGTTTTCAGATTGCAATGGTTTACCTCAGTAAAAAACAGACAACATCAAGTAATGAAAGACAAGTACTTTCTCCAAGGTTACATTTCAAACAGAAACTAAACTATTCTGTTTAACTCTTCTTTTAGAACACACGTGTACTTACTTTACTAACTACTAACTTTTACTCACAATGGTAATTCAAATCAGAAAACGTTTTCCACAAATACAACAATATTTCATTTAACTTTTTGTTTTCTCTCCTCTTTTTTTTTTATAAACCCGCACATACTTACTTTAGTAGTTCATAGTTCTTTTCATTCAGTCTTATAGCATTTTCTCTCCAGAACTTCTCAGAGTTGTGGACAGGGCTCCACTCTAGTCTACCTGACTTTACTTCTGTTGTGTACTCATCATAAGAACTGTATGTATAGCAGAGTATTAATACATTGTTAACAGTAAACTCATCATAAGAACTGTATGTAAAGCAGAGTATTAATACATTCTTAACAGTAAACTCATCATAAAAACTATATGAAAAGCCAAGTATTAATATACTGTTAATAGTACAGTAAACTCATAATAAGAAGTAAAAAATAGTAGTAATCCTGTACGAGTAATAAACTTTTCATAGACTTAAAAGATAGTGACACAATGCTAGTTTGTTTTAGTGCAAAGCCATTGTAGGAATCGAACCCCAGATTTTAGCATGTAAACATACCACTGTCCCACTAAGGGATGAAACAATGCTAGTACAAATCCCCCTTCACAGATACAAGATATAATAACCAACAGTAACAGAATGTTAACTATAAACCCATTACATTTTATAAAAAAGAGCAACAACAACAACAGTGTTAATAGTATACATGTTCTTCTGGATTTACCAAGTATCATCAGATGGATATAACTGAATGAAAATAAACCTAGCATAAATAGTGTTGTTGTTTTTAAAATTAAAATAGAAAAAAAAAGTTTTTAGAAACATATGTGTTTTATCAGAAGAAAAAAAAGTAATATCAAAAACATAAAACAAATTTCCTTGAAAACATTTAATTTAAGAACCTTTTTAAGAACAGTTCAGGTTGTTAAATTGTTGGACAGAAATTTGTGTTTTAAAAACGGTTCAGGTTGTTAAATTATGGGACAGAAACTTGTGTTTTAAAAACAGTTTAGGTTGTTAAATTATTGGACAGAAGCTTGTGTTTTAAAAACAGTTTAGGTTGTTAAATTATTGGACAGAAGCTTGTGTTTTAAATTATTGGACAGAAACTTGTGTTTTAAAAACAGTTCAGGTTGTTAAATTATTGGACAGAAACTTGTGAAATGTTTTATGTAGCAGCATAGTTCATTTATTATTTATATACGTTACTACAAAGATTTGATATATTAAGAAAAAAAACTGAAAAAAAGCATGAATTTCAAGCCCAAAAGTCTTCCTGTGAAAGTTTACAAATAAATGAAAAAAACTTGATTTTTAAAGGCACTAACAAATGGTTGCTACCTTTTTTTTTGTTACAACTAACAAATGTGGGGCTGCTACTAGCAACACCGTTATTCTTCTCTACAACTAACTGTAATTGTGTCATAATTATTTCATCCTATTTATATGAATAAACCTTCTGTGTCATTCTTTTAAAATATATTTAAATGTCAAACTCATTTTAATTACAAGTAATAGGGTTTTTACTTTAACTATTTCAAAATGCTTGATTTAAGAGGAAATTGGTGTATCTAGGCCGTGAGCAATCAACAAAGTCTATATTTCCCTAATTTTCAGTTTACGTATCAAAAGCTAAATGAAGCGTTATAAACTGGTAGACCTAACATTTGTGTTAATTATGGACAAATTAAAGAAGAGTGTATAGAAAAAAAAACTCCACTCCATGTGATTTCTATTTTAATATTATCTCCAATGAGCAACCACTTGAGCACAATATTTCTAACCATGCTGCTGGTAAAATTACATTTCAGAGGTTGTACTGTATGTTTAGTGAGTTGGCCCATGTACCAATTGCCTTGGCAACTGACCAAAAAAGTTGAAACTACTGTCTCGCTATCCCCATTTCTGGTACTTAGTCATGCAGTTGAAATGAGATCTTGAAACTGGTATAACACTGGAATGTGAAATATTCTTGTTGATCACTATTATAGTAACCTTCTCTATTTAGAAGCTAACAATATAAATGACTAAAATGCAGATATAATGGGCGTATTGATACTTGACAATAAGAATTTGTGAATCTTCTTTCTAAAACGTGCACAATTTTTATTGTGCCTTTACGAATAAAACTGCAACAGTAGCCAAAAAGTTGCTCGTTTTCTAGCATTAATTTCAAATATTTATCATCCTTTATAACTCACAGTGATCTGAAAATCAGAGTAATTTTTTTTAATTTAGCTAGTGTTATTTAATTGGACATCATCACATCATAATTCTCTTGTTATCAGTTTTAATTATTAATAAACTCAAACCTAACCTGCTACTGTATTTTTTACATTTATGTGGACTGTTTAATTGTAATTTAATCTTGTATTTTACTAAATTATTTTTTTTAACAAAACTTCTCAGTAAATGCTGAAAAGTGGAAGCTTAAACCTTTAAAACCTTAGGTAACGTTTTTTAGTGATTGGCTTTTTACATTCAATTAATAAACAGGACAATATTCATTTAATTAGAAATATTTGTTAATGCTTTATTTGTAATACTTACTCATTTCATATATCTTTTATAACTTATTAAATATTTATTGTTACTGTGTACAGAAAGAAAGGACTCGGTTGTTTGCACTTAACCCCATGTGCATGGCTATAGGTCAAAGTGTGCATGCCATGACCTTTTACAGAGTGTTGTTCAACATGGTATTGTGTATTTGATGTCAGAGTTATCAGCTATTCGTCTTACCTTACATTGCTGATTTAGTGATAGTTCGTGGTAGAGGACAGTAAATACTGGATACGATAGATAGGGCTAGCGAAAAAACTGTAAACATGCATTTTTGAGGTTTTAGAGATTACGCAAGTACAATTAGTAAATTGTACCATCGACAAAAGTTATGTACATACTTCACATGGACACACCTTGTATTCCAACTTGTCAGTCTGATCTCATCAATTCACAGACATATCCTAGCTCCTTAAACCTGTAATTTTTTGCACATTCTGCTGGAAATATTTCATGATAATTTTCACCATACCTTATAAAATTTCAATTTTCTTACTTTTGTTTTTTTCCTTCAGCATCAGGGGTACCCACATGAAGCATTGTTGAGTAAATAGCTTCAAACCTCTCCCTGTTGAACATTTGATGTCGCCATCCGATAGATAAATTGGAATTTTCGGCTAGGCGCTAGCAACGTCTGTTCAGGTTTAAGGAGTTAAGAATATAAACTTTTATAACAAATTTATTTTTTTTGTGTGCATAACAGACTTGTACATTTTATGTAAATACACAAAGCGAATTTGGAATCATAGTCAACAGTTCTTCGATACGGGGTCAGATCAGTTGACTGACACCACGCACGTTTAATTAAAACCAATATCGTGTTTAGCTTTAAAATATGGGGTTACAATGAACTATTATACAATTGGAAAGCTAATTAATTAAACAGCTTTAAAAATCTGGCTGGTTGTCTTAAAACATGAGACTATATATATAATGTAAGAACTGCTATAATGTAATATTAGAGATAC